CCCCCCCCCCCCCACATCCAAACTATCCTATGCAAATCCATAAACTGACCTACTAGTAGACCTACACAGCCAACCCTGATACAACCACAAGCCGTAATGTCCTAACGTGCCACAGATGGATCAGGGGGCCAACGGTGGCTAATGTCCTGCTGCTGCAAGCATTGTTGAAATATTCTTGAGAGATCCAAGGAAGAGGGCCATGCCCTCCGCTACAGAGGAAGGCAAAACACCCACAGCCCATACTAATCTGACCATGGGGTAAAATTCCTTCCTGACCCCAAATCTGGTGTGATCCTGAGCAGAGGAGAAAGACCCTCCAGCCAGGAATCTCCAGGTCTCAGTCCCAGCAGGAGCACTGGTGCACCCCAGTCATAATCTGCAGCCTTGGCTGCCACCAAAAAAAAAGCAAGTAGCAGCAGGAGGGGGAAAAAAATCCTTCCCAGCCCCATATAACAACCATCGAAGCCCAGAAGCGTGGGCAATACCCATAGGAGAACGTAGGCACAACTATGCCTAGATCATCCCTGACCTGTGCCTGTCCAACCTCTCCTTGAACAGCTCCAGTGATGGAGAGTCCACAGCTTCCCTGGACCATCTCTTCTACTGCACTTAGTCCCAAGATGAAGAGGTGTCTAGGGCAGGTGCCTTTCAGCAGCCACAGAAATGCAAACAGGAATGTGCACACTCACCCCCACGTCCTTCATCTGCTTGGACTCACAATAACACACTTACATCCCCGACACCAACAACCACTCATACTGGCCTCACACACACTTACACAGCAGCATGCCCCTCTGGACACACTTCCCTCTGCTCACACTCACACCAACTCACCACTCTCCCTGATGCTCACTCATGCTACACACGCTCCTGCAGACTGATGCTTGGGTGAGGTTTTGTCCATTTGCCCTCCCCGCTGCTCTCACATCTGAGCCACCCAGGGTTGGATGCCCAAAACTCCTGGTGAAATGTTTGCATCTCTGTGTCCTGGGGGTGCAGGTGTGTGTGTAGAGGGTGCTTAGGAACCCCCTCTCTGCCCAGCTCAGACACCCTGCCCTCCTTAGCATAATTAACATGAGGCCCTTTGGGTCTCCTTGTCAGAGGAGCTGGTGTCAGCTAGGGTGAGAGGTGGTCAGCACTGAAGATGCAGCCTTCTCTGCCCACCCCCTGTCCTTGGCATTTTGGAGCAAGGAGCCCTGTGAACTTCATGCCTCTTTTGTTTTAATCAGGATGTCGACCTTGTGAACCAGCAGCACTGGTACCAGCACAGCCCTCCGGACTATGTGCTACCTGCTGCCTCTTCACCAATTCCCTCAAACAGGGAAGGCGGTGGGGTTACAGCTTTGTAACTGCAGAGCTTTGTCCTAGCTCCAGCTGCAGCTTTGAGCTGTGGAGGTCCTGGTCCAAGCCCCAGTGCATTGGCCCTGACAGCAGTCAAAACACACACTCAGCAGCAGGCCATCCAGGCAGGTCCTTTGGGTGCTGCCCTGATACAGCAGTCCAGGGAGCACTCCTCATGTGCTCGTGCTCCTTGCAGGAACCGACCTCAGGGTGGGTGTGCGGGCCGTTGCACTCCATGGGGTTTCAGTGGCGTACAGCCCCCCGCACAGGGGCAGACCATTTGTTCCCTGCTACCGCTGCTCCGTCCGGCCCTCGTACCCATTGACTAGAACAGATGGCAGCACATTGTACAACCGGGACCACAGCATCAGCCCGGTTTGAGGAGGCTCCAGGCCCCACAGGGGCTACTGTGGAAACCCACCCAAGCAACTCAGCCGGCCCATTCCTAGCCCCCCCAGTCTGGGATTCATTGACTCTCACACTCCCCAGGGGCAGGACAAGGGGGCAGCCCCTTGTCCCAGCTGAGATACGAGGCCCAGGGAGGCCGCCAGACTTTCTCAGGGGCACCCAAGAGGCCAGTGATGCAGCAAGGACTTAAAGGCAGGTCCCCTGAGCATGGGCAGGTATCCGAATTTCTGCTCTCCCTGCACTCCCGTTCCCATCTCCACTTCTGTTTCTGTAGCTCCAGCATCCTCCTCATTGCCTCCACCCCAGAGGCCCTAGGTAGCACTTTGGCCTGGCCCACCCCAGTGACACTGGGCCATACAGGGGCTTAGACCCAAACTGACCCATGGCAGAGCCCTAGGCCTTGGCACTGCCCTTCCCTGTTCAGATTGGCAGGCGGTGATGCCAGAGACCTGAGCTGTATTAGGGAGCCCCACCCAGGTACAGCCAGGCCCGTTCAGGCTGGCTGGTCTCTCATGGGTCCCTGGGGCCTGTCCATCCTGCTAGGACATACTGCTGCTTTGCTAGGAGTGCCCCCAGACACGTTTTGGGGGAAGATTTGTGGGGGAGCAGGGGTCTTCCTCCTCGGGAACAGCTCCTGTTTTCTGGATGAACCTCCCTTGTGTAGGCAGCAGCAGCAGCAGCAGCAGCAGCAGGGGAAGAATAAAAGAGTCAGTGCCAGGAAGAGTCAAAGGCAGTCCGACCTCCTAGGGTAACTCAAAATCCTACTTGGCCCACAAGGTACCCAGTGCACCTGCCTCCCTCTGCCCCTGTGACTTCTTGGCCTCAGAGAGAGACAAAGCACACTGCCTCAGCAGCTGACCCGCCAGGGATTGAGCTTCTCTGATTAAATCAAAGAAATTAGTTCAACAGCATCCTTAAGCTTCGAGCTGAAATTAGACCTATCCCTGACGGGAGTGGGGCCAGCCCCGCTAACATGGAAATGGAGCAGACCTGGCTGCAAAATCAGAAGGGAGGTGGGTGAGCCCTTAGGGCTTTTCCCCAGCACACCACCCCCTCCAAAATGCACCACACCGCCTTTCTGCCTCTTAGCCCTGGATCTGAGCCTGTCCCTTCTCCGTGCTCTGCCTGGTGCAGGGATTACACTTTAATCAGAATCTGTGTGGGAAATTGCTTACATATAGGTTACAAGCGCTTGGCATCTACCCTGGGCATATCAGCCACAGCCCATCCTGCCCGGGGATGAAACCCTACTGTCACGCTGGCTCGCAGACAATCTCGGCGCCTGGGTGGAGCGCAGATTAACGCAGTGGGGGGCAGCGTCTGCGTGTGGACGTGGGAGGGCCGGGCCCACACCAATCCCTTCCAGACTTGCAAACCTTGATTAAGTTTTGCTACCTAATCTTCTTGTGTCTGTGCAGGGTCCTACATCGGTAACCCCACAGCATTGTCCCAGGCACAGCTCCACCCGGCATGGTGGCTGGGAAGCCTTTTAAGCTATCAGCCAGTCCAAAGGATTGAGGGACTGGGGCATGGGGATCCCAGCCAGTTTGAAGGGGCTGAAGGATACCAAAAAGGGCTGAGACCAGTGCCTGTGCAGGACACAGGGGTGGGGAGGGGGAACTGGCATGCAAGTGAAGGCCGGCTTGGAAGACGGGGTATAACCTGTCTTCTCTTCTTGGGGTGATTCCTGTGCAGCTGCAGAGCTCCGCTGATGGGCCCAGAGCCCCCCGGCTGTCCGGCCGCCTGTGCGTTTCAACCCCGGGCTGGAGGGGGTGGAGGGAGAGATGGATCTACTCATGGAAACTGCACTGCTAAACTCAGTTCACCCTTTTTGTCTATGCAGCCACCTTCCAGCTCCCTCCCCACCCTGGATCCTCCCTGCCATGTTCCTCCTGCAGGGATCGTGGCCTGTCAGAGCCTGGCCCCCAGGTCTGTCTGAGCCATACTTCAGCTGAGGAGCCCTGTCAAGGGCTCCTCAGCACGATCACGCTGACTTGCCAGAGGCAGAGCTGTGGACTGGCTGGGCTTGGCAAAACCAGTGCAGCCAAGGCCTTGGCTTCTCTCATTTACTAAGCACTGGTCCCCCTGGATCACATGTACCGACCCTTGGCTTTTTCCAACCGTTCACCCCCTGGCCACAGCCGCTGCTCTTCTCTGACTCCTCTCAAACCCACCTCTGGGTGCCCCCACCCGGTGGCACTGCCCTGGCACGGTCTCCCTGGCACTGCAGACATGGGAGGCATGCTCCCTCAGTCCCCCTGGGGTCAGGGCTGCTTGCTCATTGCACAGAAGCCCCATCCTCAAGGCATCTGCACCAGCTAGGACCTGAACTAGGACCCTCCCCCAGGCCTCAGTCCCACATGGCTAATCACCTGGGGGCACAGGAGAGATCCCAGGGCCACCCTTGGGAGTGGGGAGAAGAGTGACAAGGTCTCTCCACCCAGGAGGCTTTAGCTTCCCCTCCTAATACCTTAATCCTGCTCTTATCCCCGTGACACAGAGCATCCTCCTGACCTTGCAGCACAGACAGCCCCTCCCCAGGGAGGGGGACCTGGCAGCTCTCGGCCCCAGTGCTTGCCAGACACAAGCGCTCGGAGGCTCTGTGCCGCCAGGATCCAGCATGGCTTCCTTTTTCATGGCAGCCATGAAAAGCTTCAGGGGTGGAGGCGAGGAGCAGGAGGAACCCAAGGACGGGAAGAAGGCAGAGCTGCCCAACGGCATGTCCCACGAGGAGTTTGAGGAATACCAGCGGCAGCTGCTGGAGGAGAAGTAAGACTCTGCCCTCTGTGGCGCTCTGCCACCTGGGTCCCTCTGCGCCCACGGGCTGCCAGCCACCAGCTCGGTCTCAGCCCCGAGGGAGGGAGGGGCAGGACGCACCCAGCTGCTCTGGGCACGGACAATGCGCTAAGCCGAGGCAGAGGCCAGCTGGGTCACCAGAGCCCCGTGGGTGTGGGGAAGGGGCTGTACTGGCTGCTCCTCCACAAGCTTCCCCTGGATTGAAGTCCCGACCTGCTGAGAAGTGGGGACTTCTCCAGCCCAGCCCGAGGAGCTGGCCAGGGGGCATGCCCCAGGTGGGACATCAAGACTCAGGAGCCAAGAGGAGAGGGGAGGTGGTGGGAGAGCAACAAGGGAGAAAGGAAGAGAAGGACAGGGAGTGAGAAGGCAAGAGGGGCAAAGCCTGAAGACTGCTTGGGCAGGGAGAGGCTTGGCAGGGACGCAAAAGCCCCTCTATCAGGCTGCTCCCCCAGGGCCTGGCTCTCAGTCTGTAGGGATGAGGAACGGCCTCCTTGAAGGCCAGCCAGCCAGGATCCCTGCCGGGTGAGGGCAGACACAGGCCCATTGAGAGCAAGGTTCAGGAAAGGTACATTGCCAATGAGCCCTGAGCACCTGGGCTACGAGGTGGCATTGCTGTGGGTGGCTGGACAGCTGCTACGCTCCCAGCTATCCCATGTGCATCCAGAGTGATGCGTCACATGCAACATTTGACTCGCTTGCACTCGGGAACCCCAGCCAGCCCTGCTGCGACAGCTGTGGGCTGACGTACAGGAGTTGAGGAGCATGCTAGCTACGTTTGCAAAAGTGGCCCCTGATTTTGGGCGCCCAACCTGACGGTGGGTGAAGCCCAATTCTTGGAAGTGCTCAGCACCCAAGATTGCTGTGGGTGGCCTGGAGCTGCTGAACTTAAACCCCACTTTAGAAAGCAGCAGCCTTCAGGACTGAGGCAGCTCCCTGAGAGCTTCAGATGAAAGTATCAGGATGGGGCCAAGGAGCAGGACACTTACGGTGCTTGGAGACTGCCCAACTAAATGCTTCACTAGCTCACTGGCTGTTGGCACTGGGGGTCCTGGTGCACAGTGCCATATGCAATCGATCTGTCAGTCCATCTTCATGCCAAATTTAGAACCATGCCTAGCCCTAGGTGGTGGCACAGCAGGGCTGCCTCCACGTGCAACATAGATTTGTTACCTGCTGCTAACAAAGCAACGTATGTCTGGATTGTGACCTTCTGCAGAAGCTCGTGTCCATCTAAAGCACTGAGAGGTTGGGCTGGGCTGTCTGTCCTGCTCTGAGTACGTCTGCCCTGCGTGCATCTGTGTGGGATAAATGAGTGTGTGCAGTGTAAGGTGTGGTCACTGGAGGGCACGCTTGCTAACTTGGCAGATTATCCAATACTTTCAGGCAAGGTATTTGTGAGCGGCCACTGCCTGGGCAGCCTCAAGTCTTCGGGGATCTGATCTGAGGCATCCTGGACCTCACAGTCAGCAGTGCTGGGCTCCCTTGGGCCCTGGGGATGTTGCTAGGTGAATGGGTCTGCCACTGGGTAGAGGGTCACTCTGGCTGTTTCTTGTTCCTTCCTGCAGGATACAGCGGGACAAAGCCTTTGCACATAAGAAGGCAGAAAGAGCCACTGTCCGGATGCACCTTCGGGGGAAGTACCGCCTGCCACAGGTACGGGTCGCTTGCCCTCTGCTCAGGGTGAAGCCTGGCAGTGCCCCAAGCAACCAAGGGCCGCGCTATCCCAAGGCCGCACCAGAACCAGGCTCGATGCTTGCACCATCGCCTGCAGGGAAAGTTCTCCAGCTCCCGGGAGCCAGGGACACGCTCCCTGACAGGAACCAGCTGTTCTCTGCCATGCCATTAGTTTGGCACCTCTGTGAGCCTCCAGGGAAGACCCAAGGCTGGGGCTCCTTCCTGCAATCCAGGGAATTATGTACTGGCCTGCAACGTGGCATCGTACCAGGTGCAGCCCACAAACGCACCCTTCTCCCAATCTCCAAGGTTTCCCCCTTGAGATCTCTGCTTCCAGGTTTTCCTGGCTCAGAGGGATGGCCTGCTTTTTCTGACGACCAGTGTTATTGAGACCTACCTGCTCTGACAGCTGGGGTAAGTCAGCAGAATAGCTCCTCATACCGTTCAGGGTCCTAAAGCACGACACTGTCACACCACTGTGCATCCCTATTTGTCCTCTCTTCTAATCATCACTTGCACGACTAGGGCACCTGCAGCTATGGCATCCCTGGCACCCACTGCCATTTCAGGGGGGCCCTGAGCTAGAGGCAGGGCAGAGGGTTCACTGGCTTTCTTTCCTCATTTCAGAGTGAACAGGATGGTGCCCAGATCCAAGTGGCTGGAGGAGATGTGGATCTCCCTGAGGATCTGGCTGCGATGGTGAAAGAGAAGGAAGAGGAGGAGGACGAAGGGTCATACTCTTTCTTGGAGAAGCTGCAGGAGATGGACTTGGAAGCCTTGAAAAGTAGAGCACAGGGCACATTTGATGAGGTGAAGGGGAAATGCGTGCTGATGTAAGCCCTTGTACTGCTGCCCAGCTGGCTTCCTGCTACGTGAGCCCATGCTCAGGTTTGGGGCTCTGTCACCAGGTGAGAGCAGCTCGGTCAGGCATGCAGGTGGGTCCGAGTCTCCCTTGGGGATGTGGGTCCTCAGAGGTCTGGACATTCAGGTTCAGGGATACAAGGGCTATTTAGGGCCCCAGCTCCCAGTGGTTTCAATAGGAGTTTGATGGCCATGTAGAAATGATGCACTTTAATGCTTATGTGGGTCTGGGTCTTAGATGCCATGGAGCTGGGTGCCATATAAAATACAGAATAGCCTCCGGCTGCTCTCTCTTCTCCCTTAGCCGCAAACACAGGCCACATGCAGGGCCCCCAGCCCATGCCCCAGCTCTTCCTGGGGCAGCAGAGTTTGCTGGGGGCAGTGCTGCCTGGTCCTCTGGGGCTGTGTGGCCCTGAGCCCCCTCACCGCACACACAGCTGCAGTCAGCTAACCTGGTCTCTCATGACCAGCTGAAAACTTGGCTCTGATGGCAGACTGCTGCGGAGCCTCCTTCCCAGGAAAGGCTTTCCTTATCCCTCAGCCCCGGAGGCAGCTGGGAGCTCTGCTAATACTCAGCCTGGCACAGCTCAGCCCAAGGTCCCATCCACCAGCAGCTGGAGTTGCAGGGAACCGCAAGGTTGCATCCCAAAGGCTGGATTTAGTCTCGTTCTTCGCACGCCGTGTCGGTGGATCACAAGTGAGTAGCAACACAGTGCCTTGGCGTCAGAACTGGACCGGAAATGCCCTGCGCATCACCTACACAGCCAATTTTGGCATCTTTTCTGCTTTTTGATGGACAGGGCAGTTGCTGGGATTGTATGCCTCCTGTGCTGGGGAGAATGCAGTATTGCCCCAGGAAGGCGCCCTGTCTACAAATCTGTAACTCTGGCGTTTGCAGCACAACAGTGACAGTGCTAGGGGAGGCCTGTTCCTGCAAGGGGTAGGAGCAGGAGGCAGGCTTGCTAGCTGCAGCGAGCACATGTTACCCTGCCTATCCATCTCCATTCCTAGCCCACTACTTCATCTCTTCCCAGCCAAACCTGCACAGTGATGATTTGGAAATGCACAAAATCCAGAATCAGCCCCAGAATGGAGCTGCATGTAATTCTTAATTAAAGCTATGCACAATGGGAAGCTAGTGAAAACTGTGCCCTTTTTATTTTTCTCTTGTTAAAATATGCTTAAATGATCACTTTTCTCTTTCGTGAGACTTTGTGGTGCAGCGGGCAGCACCGCGGCAGACCTGCCACCTTCCCCTTGCTCTCTCTCGGGCAGATAGGTTGTGCACGCTGTTTGGGGTAGGAGCCGTCCCTGCCAGTGTGGGGACCTCACAGCATGTCTTTGATCTTGACAGGGCCCTAACTGATAATACTTGGTGCACAGGGCAGTTTTCTCTCCTCACTGTAAAGTACCAAGAGCACATTGGAAGGTGGGTCTTGTTTCCAGCTGGGCTTGTTTCTACAAAACGGACTCCAAACCCATTTCCCTTCAGACCCAGACTTGGTTCAGTCTCAGATCCCAAGGCAAGTACGTGACATTCTCCCTCTTTAAATGATCAGACACAGAGCTGGGACTCTGCTTCTCCTTGCCTCAAATGCTTGTGTAGGCAGCTGGCGTGTCCCACCCCAGACGTCACCGCAGTTCAGCCCCTGCATAATCCTGTGCTGTAACCAATACGCACTGATATGTAGGGGGGTGGAGGGTGCTGGATCTGCTCCCAGGCACAGGGCTGCTGCCAAAGCTGTTGCTGTTGCTACTAAGCAGTAGCCTGGGCAAGTAAGACTACCCAGGAGTATCTATACAAGACCTTTGCTGTGCATCTGACTGATTCACTGCACGGTAGATGTCTCAGCATCTACACATGCAGCCCTGTTAGGGTGCTTGAAACCAATAAACTCCACGGCAGGACAGTTCTCATAAATACAAGTCTACCCTGCTGCGGAGATTTTTTCTGCGCCACAACGCACATGTAGACATTGAGCCAGCTGGCTAGGGCAGGAGCCTGCTGGCTAGCCTCATGCCCCAGCCAGCCCCTCTGCAGTATGCTGAGCCCGGTTGGGGTAGCCCCGAGCTGGCAGGCTGACCCCTTGGGCCTCCTGCCAGCCTGGGCTGCTGTGACCCAGCTCAGTGTGCTGTGGTCCGTGCACATGTGTAAACCATGCACCCAGGGTAGTTTATGAACTGTGGAGCAATAAGCTCATCACTTTATTGCTGCTAGTGCAAATATGCCCCCTTTCTCTTCACCCATGTTGTCCCTTCCCCCCCTTCCCAGTCTACTGTGGTCAGCATAGCCTCCTCCAGCAGTTCCCCAGCCCTGGGCACTCTGCAATTGAGCACTGGTGCCTCACAGGATTGGGCCTTCGCAGATGACCACAGTTCCCATCAGTGGCCCCACTATGCTACTTTTAACATTCAACTGGATTGAAAAGAAAAGGGAAAGGATGTTTGCTCCCTCCAGATCTGACACAGCCACAGGTTAGCCTCATCTCAGGATCTGGATGGTGAAAAGGTCCCTTTCTTTAGAAGGCACAAGACTAGAACAATTATATGAGGACTGGTTTTCATCTTGCAGGTTATTTGCTTGAGTGCATTCCCTTGTTACATACATTCAGCAGGTACCGTAGGCTTAAATAGGGCAGATCAGAAAAATAGCTCGGGGAGGCTGAAGGCTGCTAAGGTCACTAATACCTGCCTATTTTAGTGAAGCCTAATCTGCCTGAATCTCTTGTCCCCAGAGGACTAAGCCAGCTGAACTCATGTAAAGTATACTGTAGGATTCTGCAGCAGTGAGCCCCGATGGTGCTGTGCCCCCCTGGATGCCACGGGCTTTGGGGCCATGGCTGGAGAATATGGGTTGAGTGAATTTTTATCAAAGCAAACAGCCTGTCCATGTGCAGTCCTTCCCTTCCCCCAGTGTAAACCCACTGGTTCCCAAAATCTGCTGAGCTGCTGGGGGCAGGGACACCATCTCCTTGTACATCTGCCCATTCCTTCAGCCTGTAGCGTGACTAAGGCAGGGCGAGTGGGGCAGCAGCCCCAGGTGCTATGTTGGGGGGCGGAGGGTAGAGAGGAGGACAAAAAATAGCAGCTGCCACCACAGCCACACGATCACACCAGCAGCAGGCGGCAGCAAGAAGTCACCACTGCACTGTGCGTTGCAGCTGCCCCAGGTGCCCGGCTGCCTTGTTACACCTCTGCCTACAGCCAAATGCTCGGGGAAGGGTGCTGGAAAACATGCCACGCACATGTGATGGAGTGACCTGGCCAAGGCCATGCAGCCAGCAGGAGACTAGACTCTAGCCCTGGGTGCCCTTCCTCTGAGTAACCACTAGGCTTCTCTCCCTCCCAGCATTTCATGCAATCTTGCCACATTTGCAGCCAGCAACAAACCACGAGCTTGTGGCTGGCACAGAGAGTCCTTGCCCTCCTCCTCTGGGAGCTGCACGCTTGGCAACTATTATCTCTCAGCAGTTCTGGTGGCTGCCCAAGACACTGTAGCCAAAGCACTTAGGAAACATGATTTGGTAGCAAAGACTCAGACATGGGAGTCCCTGACTCTTCCTGGCGTTGCGGTTGTCTTAATTCATGGCCTTGGGCAGTTCATGTCTCTGCTCTGTGCCTCAGTTTCCCCATCTGTAAAATGAGGCCCATAATCCTTCCCTCCCTGGGAAGCACAGAAGTGCTTGGATAAAGGGTCTGCAGGCACCCAGAAAGGTTGAGTATTATCAGTGTTAGACGATAACACTCTGGTACCACAGAATGGAGAGGCAGGAAGAGATGCCATTCTGGCAGGTCATAGAGAGCCCTCTCATGACATCTGCTGCCCTCCATTCCCGTTGCCTTCACTGCCTTCTGAGCACTTGCAGGATGCGGCCACAGCTGTAACAAGGCCACATCTGGAGAGGAACACACACACTGTAGGCACATGCAGCCATTCAGGCAGGTTACATCGACCCCCCGGAGGCCTGCTGCACCCTGAGAGTCCTCAGCTGGGAGGGGCTCCTGTGCCACGGTCCCTGCCGCCAGGGCTGTTTCTGAAGTTTGTGTTAAATAGTGGGTCGAATCAGTCATCAGAGCTCAGGGCTCCTTCTACCCCAGGCAGTGTCTACATTGCTGACCAGAGAGCCAGGCTGCTCTTGCTCTTCTTGTGGCTCATGACTACCCTTTCGGGCTCCCCAGTGGCCTAGCGATGAGAGAAGGAGTAGAGACTGCTCTCAGCCCTACTTGCAACCTGGGCATTTGAGGTTCCAGGCGTTGTGGATGTGGGAGAGGTGGGGTCAAGTCCCCCAAGGCGGAAGAGAGCCTAGAACGCAAGCCTTTTGTATTAACAGGTTTGCAAGGACTCGGGCAGGACTGCACTTAGGCGCCTCACTCCACTTGTGCACCTAATTGGTGAACTAGAATCTGGCCCCACGAGTCTGCAGGGAGAAGAGGGTCAGTCCTGGAGGGTGCCATGGGCTGCCTGCTAAGAGAATGGGAGATGTGGGCTTCTTAGAGGCGGGACAGGCTCACTCTCCTGAGCCTTGCAACATAAGTTTGAAGCAAATGGCAGCTAAGTCTGACACCTTAAAGGCAAAATAGGATTTGAGCCAGAGTCACACGATGCTTTTTCCTGCTCTGATGGACTTGCTGGCAGAGAGGCAGGGCTTGCTGTGGTCAATAGCAAGGAGGAGAAGGACTAAGGGAAAGCCCACACCCACCTGCTTCCCTCCCTCCTGGGGATGGTGAGTGTGGGGTGGGATTAAGGGGGATGAGATGCCAGCTCCTGCAGACTTCCTGAGAGGCACAGCTCAGATAGGCTGGGTTATCTAGTCATTCCCTGGGTACTGGGATGTCTTCGGAGAACCTAACCCACCCCTCCTTGTCATGGAGTCATAGACAAGTTGGGCTGGAGCGGACCTCCTGTGGCCATCTAGTCCAGCCCCCTGCTCAGGGCAGGATCACCCCCATCTAAGCCATCCTAGACAAATGTTTGTCTAACCTGCTCTTAAAAGCTTTGTGAACAACCCTCACACGCATCATCTAGCAGGCACAAGTCCTGGAGCCTCAGATGCCCTGATCAGACATGGTTGGATCCTTGCTGCTCCATTCTGGACACCGAGGGCAGGATCTTATTGCACCACGTGGATGGTCGAGCAGCAGCTCGAGAACAACTCAGAGCTACTTAAGTAAGTGCATGAGCGAGTCCATTAGCCCCTGTGGGCACGTAAGTGGCCCCATGATAGGAACAGGATCTCCCTCCAGAGACGCACAAGCATCTCCCTGCTCCTTACATAGTGCGGGTATTAACGCACCCCTGTCCTTTAGT